CAGTGTCATCCTCAGGAGCAGAGGCTCGGGTCTCCCAGGCCTCGTGGGTGAGGAACACGCATGGAGGTGGCCAGGTCACAGAGCTGGTGAGTGGCTGGGAGTCCAGGGAGGGGTAGTGTCAGGCTGCCTGCAGGGTGGCACAGGAAAGGTGCAGCCAGCCCTGGAGCCAGGACTTCCCCAACAGGCACAAACAGCCCGGGGCAGGTAGGAACTTAGAGGTAAATTTCCTGTGACAGACGAGGGTAACCAGGCGGAAGGCTGGAGCCGGGGGGCGGACGGCTGGTGCTCTTGGGCAGGCAGAAGTGGGTTGATGGCCAACACAGCTCAAAGTCAACAAGAAGAAGACAAATGCAAAATGGCAAGGGGTGGGGACAGGCGGTGAGGGGTGGGGACAGGCGGTGAGGGATAGGGTCAGGCGGTGAGGGGAGGAAGCTGCAGGTGACCCAGTGGGAGCCCCAGGCCGCTGCCTGCCTGGGCACAGAGCCCGGGACTCAGGGCAGTGGTCTCCTCTTACAGTGAGGTTAGGTCTCCTCCTGAAGTGGGGGGTAGGGCCAGGGGGAGTCATTTGGAAGTTTCTGGCAAGACCCTCAGGCCTGAAAGTGGGATGTTGCTTGGGGGGATCTGGGCATCCCAAATGCCCACCCTAGAGGAATGGCTAGAGGTGTGGCAGGTGAGACCGGGCGCTGCAGAGCAGTGGGCAGGATACCCGGAGTGCGCCCCTGACCTGGGCGCTGCTGTCCACCCAGGAGTGCTGGAGCCTGGGGGGGCCCTGGCTCCATCCTGGCACTGCAGTCAGTGGAGGAGCACCTGCCGGAGCACCTGTGGCCAGGTCAGGAAGGCAGAAGCGGAGGGAGCTGGAAGAGCTGTGCGGGCAACATAAGTGTGACCGTGAGGGACAGGTGCTAGTATCTGTATGTGCATCTGGGTGTCCGAGTGTTGAGAGCCACAGCCGAAGGGGCCCCAGCAAACTTCCAGCTGCCAGCACCAGCTGCCGGCTGATGATTGGCTCACAGCGGCCCCAGCAACATCTAGCTGATTGGCTCCTCTGCGGTGATGCTCATTGGGCTGTTTCCCTGCCCTTTCAGACCACGGAGCTGCTCATTGGGGGACTTTTTTAGCTCCGCCCACGTGACCCAGCCAATCGGCCTCAAGAGCAGGAGGATTGTGGGAGGTGGAGAGAAGCTTGTGTGGGAGAGAGAGGCTTGTGGGAAGCAGGTGGTGGCAGTTGGGCTCTGAGGATTTTTCCTGAGAGGCCGTTTTGTTTGGTGTGTGGTTCTAAAAATAAAGTTAGTTTCTTTTGACAAGTGGCTCCTGATTGTGCCCAGCCAGACTGCGGCTCTCCAGACCGAAGAGCAAAGGGAGATAGAAGACAGTGGCAGAACCCGAAGTCCCTGTTGGAGGCTGAGCGCGGCGTGGCTGCAGGCAGTGGACACACGGGCACACCTGCTGGTGTTGGGACAGGTGACTCTCCGTGGCCGACAGCCCCTTAAGCAGGCGCTGTGTGTGCCGCCGGGCCAGGGGTCTGGTCAGTGGTGGCCCCGTCCCCCAGCACTTGTCCTGCGCCTCTTCAGGGCTGTTCCCATCTCATCTTGGGTGCGTCCTGCTGGGCGCTGCTCCCCAGTGCCGACTTTGCCCACCACAGGTGCTGGGCATGTGGGCAGCTTCCTGTGTGTCCCTTGTGTGGCTCAGTGGGCTGGACCAGGAATTGATGGAAACCAGAGAGGCCTGTGGGACAGCCAGCCCCTCCCCCACCTGGCAGGTTGCTTTGGGGATGAGCTCTGCCAGCCTCTGACCCCGCAGTGCCTAAGGGAAGGGGGGGCGGGCGTCTGGACCCTAGTCCTGAAGCACCCACACCTGGCTCCTTCACCAGCAGGCGCTGGTGCTGGGATGTGTTGGGCAGTGTGGGTACTGAGTGACCCCTGTGTCCACCATAGAACCCTGGGCCTGACCACCCAGGTGGTCCAACCCCCTGACTCCCTCCAAAGGGACTTGGGGTGGGGCCAGCTGCTCCTCATACTGAGGTGCTCTGGTCAGGGAGCCACTCCTTGCCCTCCAGGCTGCCCCACCATCCACCACCCAGTAGGGCCTGGGGATTCTGGGGGGACCCTGACTTCCAGGTGGGCCGTAGAGATGGGGGACTGCCCAGGACCGAGGGACAGAGGCTGGCAGGCTTCCGTGGGCCTCTCCTGGGCTCAGAGGCCAAGAGCTTTCATTTCAGCTTTTATTTGGAGAGGACCGAGATACTCATGCAGTCGCGAGGAAGACCACAGCCAAGTTCCAGGGCCCACGCTGGCCTCCCAGGTCACTGGCCGTGTGCCCAGCTAAGGACGCCACCCTTGTGTGACATGGATGCTGCCTGCATGGACAGGGTGCTGTTGCCTGTGCACTGCAGGGTGAGATGAGTGTGAGAGTGGGCAGGGTGTGAGAAAGTGAGTGTGAGAGGAGTGTGAGAGTTGGCAGGGTGTGTGAGAGTGTGAGAGTGAGTGTGAGAGGAGTGTGAGAGTGGGCAGGGTGTGTGACAATGAGTGTGAGAGTGGGCAAGGCTGTGTGAGAGTGGGCAGGGTGTGAGAGTGAATATGAGATGAGTGTGAGAGTGGGCAGGGTGTGTGAGAATGAGTGTGAGAGTGTGAGTAGGCAGGGTGTGAGAGAGTGAGAATGAGTGTGAGAGGAGTATGAGAGTGGGCAGGGTGTGTGAGAATGAGTGTGAGAGTGGGCAGGGTGTGAGAGTGTATGAGAGTGAGTGTGAGAGGAGTGTGAGAGTGGGCAGGGTGTGTGAGATGAGTGTGAGTATGAGAGGAGTGTGAGAGTGGACAGGGTATGTGAGAGAGTATGAGAGTGGGCAGGGTGTGTGAGAGTGAGTGTGAGGAGTGTGAGAGTGGGCAGGGTGTGTGAGAGGAGTGTGAGAGTGGGCAGGGTGTGTGAGAATAAGTGTGAGAGTGGGAAGGCTATGTGAGAGGAGTGAGAGTGGGCAGGGTGTGTGAGAGTGAGTGTGAGAGTGGGCAAGGCTGTGTGAGAGTGAGTGTGATAGTGTGAGAGTGGGCAGGGTGTGTGAGAATGAGTGTGAGAGAATGAATGTGAAAGTGTGAGAGTGAGCAAAGCTGTGAGTGAGTGTAGGAGTGGGTAGGGTGTGAGTGTGAGAATGGGAAAGGGTGTGTAAAAGTGAGTGTGAGAGTGAGTGTGAGAGTGGGCGAGGCTGTGATTTTTTGTATGCTCCTGAGTGTATGTGCACGTGTGTGTCAGCATGAATGTGAACATGCATATGTGAGGGACTCCACCTGACTGTGAATATGTATGTGCGTGTGTGTGAGAGGGTGTGTGTGCATGTGTGTGTGAGTGAAGGTGTTTGTATGTGTACCTGAGAGAATATGTGTGAATACTTGTGATGTTAGTGTGTGTTTCTCTGAGTTTCTGCACAAGTTGGTGAGTCTGTGTACATGTCAGCATTATGAGTGTGTGTGAGGTGGAGAGAGGTGTGAGGCTGTGGGAGCAAGTGTATGCCTGCAAATGTGACGGTCTGCCTGTGAGTGTGAAAGTGTGAGAACATGTGTCTTTGAGTGTGTGTTTTGTGAGTGTGTGTGACTATAGAGTGGTTATGTGTGTGACTACTCCTGCATGAGTGTGAGCCTGTGAGCATGGTGCGTGTGACCATGCCTGGCTGTGGGGAGTGTGGGAGTAGGTGTATGTGTGTGTTGGTGTGAGTGTGGGGTTGTGATTTTGAGTGTATGTTTCTGTGTGCTTGGATGTAGTTCTGTGCCCTGTCCCATGTGCAGGTGTGCAGCCACCATGGGCACAGAGTGCACAGCCACCTGGTGCCCGCGGGCGTCCCTTTGCACACTTAGCATTCTGGGCAGCTCTGCCGCTGAAGGCTGGAAACCTGATCCGCCCCGCCTCCCCACGGGATCCCCAGGCGCATGCGCATTGATCCTCCCCGTGGCTAAGGACGGTGCAGATGGACGGAGTTTGCTCAGCTGCACCTGTTGAGGGACCTCAGGCCGCGTCCCATGATTGGTGCCTGTGAACGGAGCTGCGGGGACACTGGTGATGGGTGAGTAGGGGACAGTGTTCGCTCCCAGCAGGGCCAACAGACAATCACCTGGGACCCACAGGACAGCGGTTGGGCTGCTGCCTCTTTATTCACCACCATGCAGTGGGGAGGGCCTCGTGCCTACGTGGGTCAGCCCTCTCCCTGGGCTGCCAGCCCCACTCCTCCTGACTGCGAGGCCCTGCAGGACAGGTCCTTGAAACCTCAAGGACTCGCAGGCTGAGCTGATGTGGGGGTCCAATGGGGGTGGCCTCTGGGAAGGGAAGGAGGACTTGGAGGGTGATCTTGTGGGACCATGGCTCGTTCCTGAGAAGGGACTCGGGAGGCTGAATGGTGGCCTCCAGGAGAGATGCCCAGACCCCGGCTGGGACTCATCTGGAAAGGGGCTCCATGCAGCGGTCCATTTGGGTCTGGAGATGAGACCTGCCTTAATTACTGGGTGGGCCCTAAACCTAGCAGGTGCTGATGAGAGGGGAGAAGGGACACAGACAAGGAGGCTGGAGCAATGCTGCCACAGCGGAGGGACATGGAGCCATCCATCAGCAGCTGGAGGAGGTGGAAGGGTCCCGTGGAGCCCCGGGGGAGTGTGGCCCTGCGAGTCCTGGACCCCCGAGTTCCTGGCTGCAGAGCTGTGAGAGAGTAAACCCCACTTTTCTGCCCAGAAGCCCAGGACACTCCTACAGCATGGGGTTCTTTTCTGCCCAGGTCCCACGTCCCATGAGCCTGGCTCCAGCAGTGATCTGCCCCTGCACCAGGCGCTCCACGCTCCCTTACTTCTGCAGGAGACCCCAGCAGGTGGCTGAGGACGGGTCTCAAGGGATGGTGCTGGTGGTCCTTCTGGGCTGGGACCCTGCCCTCTGACATCAGCCCCAAGGCAACCCCATCCGCTTCCATTGCCACCCTGAGCTGCCCGTCCTGCACCCAGGAAGCTCACGCACCGAGGGCCTGGCTGGGTGCTCTACCTCTTGGAGTAGCAGTGATCTGGGGAGACAAAGGCCCCCGGTTGGCTCGCTGGGCCTCCCCCCAGACCCCGAGCCCTTGGGCCGCTGGGCCAGGCAGCCTGCGCTGGCCTGAAGCAGGAGCCCTACCTTCTTGGGTCAGGTCCATGATGTTTTTGGAAGTCAGTCTGTACTTTCTGCAGACTCTTTCGAATCTGTGTTGGAAGTTGTGGCTCAGCTTTGAGATCCGCCCTGAGGACAGGTTTGGGACCATGTCTGGGGAGGGCCTGGAGGGCCTGGGCAGGGCTGCATTGCTGACCAGCAAGGGGGGCTCGTGCCAGCAGGTGGGTGAGGGATGTTGAAGCCCCCACTCACCCACCTCTCAGACTTGGGGTTCTTGGAAGACCCCCACCCACCCAGGGTGGCGCCTGTCTCAGAGCAGGACAGCTGGGACAGCTGGGGCTGGGGTACCGTAGAGCGCCAGCACGCGGGTCTCAGTCCCATTGCGGATGTTCTGCATGTCGAAGATGACATACATCTTGTAGTCCGTCTCTGAGACCAGCACCTTGTTCTCCCCCTCGTCTGTGTGGAGATGCCACTCAGCACAGTCCACCGCCACGCCCCACGCCCCCCAGGTCCTGGACCAATGCGGGGTCACTGTGTGTGGTAGCCCTCAACCACCAAGAGGGAGGGGGAGTGGGAGCACAGGAGCGGCTCAGATGGGTCCCCCGTGTGGCAGTGTGGGCAGCAGGGCGCCTTGGCCCCCTCTCCATCCACCCCAGCCCCCCGGTGGGCCTGAGCCCCTGGCTTCCCAAGAGGAGCTGGTCTGGGAGCCCCTGAGTTGGAGCCAGGCTAGGTCCTCTTGCTTTGGGGTCAGGGTATCAGGGATCTCATAAAGTGCCTTAAGTCGGTGGTCACCAGAAACAGGGCAAGGCCGGGCAGAAGGACCCCTGGCTGTCAGACCAGGAAGAACCCTGCCCGCACTCACAGGAGATGGAGTACTCTCCGTTCTTGTTCGTCTTCTGGCAGACCATGCTCACGCCCACACACTCACCCTGCACCCTGGAAAGGAGCGGGGTGACGCTTGGAGTGGGGCCCCAGCCCCAGGGTCTGTGGCAGGAAGTATCTGCCCTGAGGCACAGGCTTCACGCCCCAGTCCCGCTGGGGGTCTCAGCTGGGTCCACAGAGAGGGCCATCACCAGGCACGCTCCTCTCTCGTGTCTCAGGATCCCTCCCCGAGGGTGGGCCCAGAGTGTGAGTGTGAGTCCGGGTGCCGGTGGGAGGGGTGCAGTCCCCCTTGTCCAGCAACACTCACATGAAGCGGAAATTGAACTTGAGGCTGCCGTTTTTTAAGTGTTCAATATTCCGAATGAAGAGCCTCAGGTCTCCGTCTTCTTTAATCCGCGAAAGGTTGTTTGAGGCCATGGAAATAGAGTACCAGACCCCTGAAATCTGGAGGGAAAGGTGTGACGATGGGGAGCCCTGGATGCCATGGGGCTCCTCGGTGCCAGTTATAGGTGTCAGCTGCAACTAGGGGTCCTCTCCCTCCCAAGGTCCCCTCTGACCTCCCAGGCCCCCTCTGTCCTTCCAGGGTTCCCTCTGACCTCCCAAGTCTCCTCTGCCCCCCAGGGTCCCCTTTAACCTCCCAGGTCCTCTCTGCCCTCCCAGGTCCCCCCTGGCCCTTTGGCTTCTGTCACAGCTAGGGAGGAGAGGGCCCCCCATGGCAGAACCACGCTGGCATAGGTCAAAGACCCCAAGTTGAGGGGAGCAAATGCCCCAGAAGCCTGGCCTGTCCCCACCCTGGCCATGTTGTAGTTCTTATCCACGACAGCCAGGGGGTTGAACTTCTGCGCCCCAGCCGAGCTCAGCCCCAGGACCAGCAAGAGCAGGGCCATCCTTCCTGGTGGGTGCCTCGGCTGTGCCTGCCCTTTATGCCTGCTTCTGCCCTGTGGTTTCCAGACCCTGTGGGATGACCTGGTCTCTGCCTGTCCACAACATCCTGTGCCCGTGGGAATGCAGTTTAAAGTCCCCTGTGGCTGCTGCCCTTGACTGCTCATGACCTGACCTGAGCTGACGTTGGAATCTGCTTGAACTGGTGTCCAGCTGGGTCAGAAAGGAAGTGACAGAGGGAGTCAGGAGCAGGCCAGGCTGTGGAGACTGGGTGCGAGGGTCAGGGGCCCAGATGGGGCTTGGCCTCCAGCCTGTGCCCTTCCTGGCAGGGGATGGCAAGAGGTGAAGATAAGCATCTCCTGGCATGTCTGCAGCATCTGCTCAGCCTGCGGGTGTCTGGAGCATCCGGGCACAAGGTGTGCTGGTGGCAGGTAGTGGGGGAGGTCCCGGCTCCCACATGAGATCAAAGCTGGGCCAGGCAGCGAAGGACCGGGAAGAGCCGACCCTCCAGAGACACACAGGAGCTGCCCACAGGCTGCCACTCACATAAAGCTAGGTCTGCCACCTGGGCATGGGCCCATGTGGGTCCTGGGGCCTGTATGAGCTGCTGGCCCGGCCCTGCTTTGCAAGGTTGTGGCAGCTCTGGGGACTGCAGACCCCTTCCCTCCCAGGTGGGCAACGGGGGTCGGCCGGCCAGGGGCTGGAGGGGAATCACTTTTCCCAGACAGGCGGGCCCTGGGCTTCCTACCTAGGAAAGAGCTTCCAGGAGGTCGGCCGTCCCTTCCAAGAGGCCACGCTCTTCTCCACAACTTCCTACCACTTTTTAAAAGAAGAGATTTAAGAAATGGTGTTCAGACGGGCAGAGAATCTCTGCTGACAACGAGTGGCAGAAGTGTCTCTCCCCACCCGGGCCAGGTGGCGGGCAGCTCCTCCTCCCCGTGGCTTCTGGGTCTTGGGGGAAGTCAGCTCCAGACAGACTGGAGAGGCCGCTGCAGAGGGTCGAGGTGGCTGTGGGTTGGCACCTGGGGTCTCTGTGATGGGGGCTGGGCCAGGAACATGGCGTCCAGGAGCCCTTCCCCTTGTAGGGTTGTGCTGGCTCCTTTGAGGCCTTCTGCCAGGCCCACCTGTCATGCCCAGCTGCTCTGACCCCTCGCACGGGCATCCCTGAGTCTGCCTCAGTCCAGAAGCAGAGGTGGAGGCAGCTCAGGATTGGGGTCAATGTGGCACTCCAGGCCCCTGCAAGACTTGGAACATTCCCCTCCTTCTGGGAAGTCTCTGGTGTCCTTCTCCAGGCTGGCACAGTTCTGATTCCTATCCTTAGGAAATCTGAGGAGTCTCTGGGACCGGGAGGTCTGGGTGGCCTGTCCTGGCCAGGGAGTGGCAACACCCAGTGCCAAGTGGGATTCCCACCTGGCGTGAGGACACCCGACCCTGGAAGGCACCCCCATGTAATTCCTGGCTAGCAGTTGAAGAAGGGGGCCTGCACTTCTCTCCAAGACACCACGTCTTGGGGCTGCCCAGTGTCATGCTGGTCTTCACTTGGTGAGGCCAGTCCCCGCTGGAGACACTGGCCGTGCCCTGAGTCAGGGACAGGCAGGAGGGAGCGCACTGCGGGAGGAGGGTGCAGGGAGCGGGTCCTTTCCCTGACAGAGTGCTGCCCACTGACCTGGCTCTGGAGCTCACGGAGCAGGAGGTGGAAACACGGGTAGCAGCGGCTTGCAGGAGCACAGGCAGGGCCACCGCCCTGGACGCGGGGCTCCAGCAGGGCACCCCGGGAGCACCCGCGTGGCGCTGGCCCCGAGGGTTTCCAAGCGAGAACACCAACCAGATGGAGCAGAATCCCACACCTGGGGACGTTCTGGGAGCGAATAACAGCTGGGAGCCGCGAGCATCTGCCCCAGAAACTCAGGGGTGCCAGCCGCTGACGGGGACTCGCAGGGTCACGAACCTGGCCAGCACATCCCCCGCAATCCCAAGCAATACGGGCACCTGCGAGAACGGCCATTTACAGAGGCAGGGGCGCTGCTGTCACCCCGGGACCACTGGCGGACTGCCCACGCTAGCGCGGAGGACTGCGGACCCTGGCCTGGCCATCGGTGCAGGCCCACCGCGCGGCTCCCATGGAGATGCTGACAGGGAAAGGACAAATTGCTGGTTTGCGACCCCAGCTGGACAGCCCAGCGGGCAACGCCCGCCCCGAAAAACTGGCGGGACACCCACACAGTGCAGCTGCTCGGTGTCCTATGCCCCGGGGCGAGCCGGGCTGCGGGGCCACCAGCGCCACTCTTGCTTCCTCTCCGTCGTAACCGCCTGGCGCCTGGCTTCAGGTTCCCACTGTGAACCTCCACCCGACCTCGGCGACGCGGGGCACCGGCGAGGTGCCGGGCCACGTGGTCGCACGGAGATGTGGAGTGGACATGCAAAGGGACGGCCAACATCGGGGTTCTCCCCGAGGCTCTACACCTAGGAGTTCTCCCGGCACACGGCGGGGACGAAATGGCAGAAAAGTCCCGCCTCCCGCGTTTTCCCTTTCCCTGTCACTCAAACGGGGCTTTTGGCCCCGCCCCCGCGTGGCTGGCCCCGGGGCTGCGGCCCTCGTCTTGCAGGAGATGTCCACTGCCGGTACCAGCCAAAGATCCCTTCCGCGGGCGCCTGCGGGCAGCCTGAGCCCGACTGTTCTCGAGCTGGGCAGCCTCATCTCTTCTCCACAGCTGCAGAGGCCGTGTCGCGACCGCCAGAGAGACGCGGGCTCCTCCTGTCTTCCTTTTGGAGCTTATGAGGATGCATTTTGCTCATCACAGGAACAAAAGCCGGAGACAATTTGTCACAATGTTCCCGTGATGACCGAAAAAATCCTTGTTTTCATTTGTAACTATACAAATACAAAAAATAATAAATGTATTCGCTGGGTTCTTATTTTAACTAAATTAAGGGTACACCCATAGTTAAAATAAGTTGAAATGGATCCAAATAGTTTAAGAACCATGTAGTTTCATAAGGTCGACATAATTATAGCTATACCTTTATTCTTAGTACATATTTTTCCAGTTATTTAAATAATCTATGATCAGTAATTCATAAAATAATTAACACATATGTCTATTTATTTAATTAATATGTGTCTATTTGCTTCTAATTGTTTTCCTTCAACAGAAAACACAGAATTTATATTTCTTATACATGCATTTATCTGATGCTCTGCCTTTTATAGTTTAAAACATTTAAGATAGCGCTGGGGCTGGGGCTCAGCAGTAGAGCACTTGCCTAGCACCACATAAAAATAAATAAATAAAATAAAGGTATTGTGTCCATCTACAACTAAAATACAAATATTAAAAAATTAAGATAAATGTATTTTACTATAAGAATTTTGCTTTCAAGAAAATACAACCATCAAGTAATCTCTAATTCTCAAATTATTGTATAAACTTTATTAGATGATAAACAGATATGATTCTGTCTACAGAAATGTCTAAGGGCTTTAATTATATTTTTCATTGAGATATTTCTTCTTATTAAGGTACAATAATTTGTTTAGATTCTAAGATTTACAGAAATTGTTCCAAAGTATAACCAAAAGAAATTCCAAAAGGAGAGGAAAATACTTCCACAGAGAGCAAGCACACATTGGAGATCTAAGAAGAACAAAGAAATTATCTTTGGGTAAAACAAGGTCTTTATTGTCTAGATTTTAATGATAAAAAAATTTTCCTAAATAAGGAAATCCTTATATCATTATCTAGACTGATGATATAGAAAGTTAAAATAATTGGAAAACAAATGTATGTATAACTGGACTGACTATAACAATCTGAACTGATTAATTCTAGGATATTTCAGACTCCCTTCCCTGATTTTATTATACTAATATAAACCAAGATTGGGTCCATATTTCAACATGATAAAGACCTATTAAAATGTTAAGTTTGTTTCCATCAAGTAAGGTCTTTATTTACCTAGTGATTCTTAATGTTTAAGATAAGGATTAATTTTAGTTAATTAATTTACTTCTTTGATTAAATAATAAATATTTTGAAATGCTGACTTAAATTTCAATTTGACACTTCTTCTTGGAGACTAAATTTGATTGATTCAAAGATGCCAGTAGTGATTCCTGTTGATTCTTACATATTACTTCTGTTGTTGGATACTTGTAGGATTTGGGAGAGCATTTTATTAGAACTTGAGCTCTCCAAATTAAAATCATACATTAGTTTTGAACAATAAAATCTACAAACTTTGTTGGAAATTTTTTGTATTATCTAAGTTCTCTGACTGGACATATTATCCATAAAAAAATATGATAAGGTTTATATACTACTCCCTACACTGGGAAGCGGCCTTAATCATATTTTTTAAAAAGACAAGAGATAACTATTTAAAAGATAATATTCTGAGGTATAGAGATATTTTGAGACCTTCTCTCAGGAAGGGATTGAGGGTTCTTCTTAAATTGTCCATTTGCAGGTAACATCAAAATGGATCAGCTAGTCTATGTACTAGAAAATCACAATGATTAATAAAAAAAGTCTCAATTTTATATCTAGCCTCATTTACTATTAACAGAGAAGGCCTTAAAAATTACCTACTGGAAACAAAGATCAAAGGGGACCTCTCAAACTTAATACAGATCAGAACAAACTCAGGGAGGTTTTTGAGAGATCCAAATTCATATATTGTAATATTTCAAAATTTATGCCAGATGTCTAACCTTATCTAGAGAGATGTGCTGTTACTTAGCTAAACCTTAAAATAGAGGGCCATCTTAAAAACAGTTTTAAAGGAGATTTATCTTAACCATGTCCTGATTATCTGTCTGGAGCACAGACAACTTCCCCAAACAGATATCCAACATATAAACAAAATGCCTAAAAAGGAATTTTAGTAAGCCTTTAAAAAATCCTATTTTCATAGAGAGACTCAAAAAGACAGTGCAGCACCTTAAGCTTCCAGGGGGCCACCCATTTTCAAAGTTGGGTTTATCATCCAGTTAGCCCTAGACATTCCCTGGGATTGGCAAAGGTCAACACAGTCCTAGACAAGTTTAAATGTTACACCATAGTTGATTGGAGACCAAAGGAAGGAAGACAGA